AAGCCTCGTCTACATGGAAGTCGTAAAGTCGTAGTCGTAAGAATAATCGACTGCGATTGGTCAATTTCGTCGGATACATAAGAATTGACCAATCGCAGTCGACTATTCTTACGACTACGACTTTACAGCTTCTATGTAAACGAGGCTTAAGCCTCCGCTACAATGATTCTCGGTTCTGTCTACAATGGTCGTACAGTTGTATCGATGGTCGCTTGAGCAGTCGCAAAGTAAGAATTGACCAATCGCAGTCGATTATTCTTACGACTACGACTCTGCGACTCGCATTGTAGACAGAACCGAGAATCATTGTAGCGGAGGCTTTATCGAGCGACTACGACTACGACCATTGTAGACAGAACCGAGAATCATTGTAGCGGAGGCTTTAAAAATTGAACGAGTGCGCAGCGTCGGGAATGCTTCACCTTGCTTTTTCCACCATGCCGGTCATATTCTCTAGTCTTCATAGCTATCTCTCTATAGATGTCGCGTCGCATGCTCCACCTTGCTCCAACGACCAATGCCGTCACTTAAATCGTAAATAAAACGACGGCATTGGTCGTTAGGGCAGAAGCATGTTGGAGCATGTTGGAGCATGTTGGAGCATGTTGGAGCATGCTACGCGAGCAGAGCTTTTAGTTCTTGATGTAGTCATAAATTCAAGGGCCGAAGTTCATCACAGTCTCATCAAGACTGTGGTCGAGATCAACAGATTCGCGAAGAGACGGCAGAGACGCCGGTAAACCTGACACAGGTTTATTTAGGAAAAAGATAGTCGCAAGACATGGTAAATGTGACGAAGGGCATTTTGGTCGAATGGTACGTCTGCCTGTTCGTAGAACGAAATTATTGACAACAAATTGCATCATGATCAGATTCACCTAGGACCTTCGCGGTCGCGTAGCGCCTAAACGACGCGTCAGAGGACATGGGTTGCTCGATAAAAAAAAAAAAGATCCTTTCTGCGAGACCTATCGTTCCTCAAAGTTTGTCGGTGAGGTCCTGAATCACCCTGTGTATACAAAGTTTGATTATAAATGAAAAGTTGAGAAATTTGTTGCATTTAATTAAATGTATTTAATACATGTGGTATATTGAATTTCATTAAAGTCAAGAGAAGGAGTCGTTTCTTTATTGTAATCCTGCATACTTATCTATGTTACAATTTCTTATTCAGATTTATTTTATTTTGACTATGCCTGTGCTGTTTTCATTCATTTTTTTGCTAAAATTAGCAATTTTCTTCTCTCTCACAGCTGTTCCGTCTCCTCCAATAGTGTCTGTTTCTCCTCTGTATCATTTTTTATTTTTTTTTGTTCCCTGTACAACATATTTTCAGGTGGACGTGAATGTAATTTGATTTGAATAAATTAAACGTTGGTTTTCTTATTCACTTTCTTTTTTCATACACCTTTCTTTAGCTTCTCAAGCTTAAATTCTATCTCTAGTTTTTTGGCTTGTATCAGCTGTTCTGTAATATATTGCACTGATATTTTCTCCGTGGAATATTATTTTTTAAGTAGAGAAAAATCCTCTACTATGAGATAGCAGGTTTTCAGCATCCAAATTCAATCACGAATCTTTTTTCACAACAATTACACAATCTAATACAATGGATTTTTCACTAATCGGATTTTACTCCTACTTCTTATAAAATAGTTTCAACATTCTCATGTACATATTTCTTGTCGAGAGATACTCCTGTTCTCTTGAACGTAGTGTTTCTAATAAAGACCATTAAATATGCAAATGAAATTTGTATGTGTCCAGCGATGCGGCTATGAAACAGTTTCTTCTACATTTGGACGAAACATCTGCGCTGGGGAGAAAGTTCATAATTCAAGACCTGGATGAGAGACACCTGTTCATATCCGCCGACATATTGGAAACTTTGCAAGCAAAAGTGGATGATTTGATGGATCAGATATCATTCCCGCTGACAGAAAAGGGTGTATAAAAGAGAAGGGACAACGAGAGATTTGCTTTCTGTGATATAATACTGCAGACTCTTGTAACATGGCCCGGGAGTCCGGCAGAATAAAGGATGCTTGCCAAAAGCGAATCCTCGACGATGCCGCGCGCAAGCGTAGGCAAAAGAAGGCGTTGGAAGCATTGGAGCAAGACAATTTTCATGATGATCCGCATGCTGACTTAGGTATGGTAGCTGTAAAGGAGTGTCTTTTCGAAACACCGTGCTAGACCATTGCTTTTCTCATTTCAGTGATGAGCAAGAAAGTGCCGAAATTTCAAGAAACGCTGGACAATAGAAGCAGTAGCAGGAAAAAGAAAAGCCGCTCTGCGGAATACTATAAGCAACGTTTTCGCAAGACTTTTGCACAGCTCGTGGAGGAGGATCTCAATATGAATCCTAATCCGCCAAATTATGCCTGCGCCCAGGCGCCGTCGTCGCATTTGCCCGAGAGACATTTCTGCGCGGTGTGTGGTTTCCCCAGTAATTATACATGTATACCTTGCGGCGCCCGATATTGCTGTGTCAAGTGCCTAGGTACTCATCTTGATACGAGATGTATGAAGTGGACGGTTTAAAAATTTTGATTTAATTTATTCCGAGTTTCAGTTAAAATAGAGTAACGTAAAGTATCTATTCTTTTCTCAACGGAAGAGATTTAACCGTTGCATTGTACGTTTTGATAGTAAAATACATAAAAAATGCCCCATGTCCAATGAAACACCAGTAAACAAATTCTTAACAATATGCTAGCAGATTTCAGCGGAAAATTACGGCATAAACTGCTTCTGTTTCACCAACAATTTATTTTAAATTTTAATAATTGTGCAGTTCTATTCAATGTCACTTTGCATAAAAAGATTTGAAAAGCAATAGTTGCTCGCTGGATTATTTACGGTTGGGATTCCATATGGCACACTTGACTACTTCCTCTTTCCGTTTGATATCTTACGGCTTGCGAACAATAGAGGAAATTGTAGGAAAACATTTGTAAGCTAGAATACTTTGGATTATGACTGTAACACAATTCGTATGTTTGCATCTTATTATATTTTGTGTTTTATTCTTTTTCATTGTGCGTTATATTTGTCTCTTCCCTCTTCTAATATTTAATATTTATTTCCTATTCCTAATATTTCCTTTATTGTGCACAGGACTAAAGAACGACCTCGATAGCGGCTTAGTTCCACTTATAATCACAGCGAGCAATCTAGTAGTATAGCATGACACACATAAAACCGACCCCAAAAATGCAAAATACAATTTTTAAAGTTATTACGTATTTCTGCGCCTGAAAAAAGGCTGATAAAAGTGTAAATTGTTAAAATAAGTCTTTAAATTAAACACGTTAATTTATCATACCATATGTACATAACTCAAACATACATATAGTACATTATTACCAAATAAAACAAACCATTTTACGTTGTGGGCCAATTTTATGTGTGTCACTCTTTATATCAAAGTCTATAGTTGAAAGAGAGGTCATGGATTTATGCAGATAGACTGCGCATTTGTATTTCCCCATTTTTGAAATATTTAATACCAATTGACTAAAATATATAATCAAATTATAATTTCATAATGCAAAATATACTTTATTATTGTTCAATAATAATATAATAATATTTATGTTACACTTACTGAACAATTTATGTTGTAGCCGCATGAAAAGATTTAATTTTATATCTATAATAGTACTTATATGATATTTTTTGGTACAATATCTATACAATATTAAACAATTTTTCTTTGCAGAGAGAGAGAGGGGGGGAAGAAGAAAGAGAGTAATAATCTTATTTGATAATATTATAGGAATCAAAAGGAGGATATCTATAAGATCGGTTTTTGGAATCTCATCTGAAGAAATAAAAAAATTTCGTTTTAAAACATCAGAACCGTTTCTTTTTTGGAAGAAGTATTACAATTATGTAATTCAAGTTAAACAAATGTTTTTGAAGCTTTCAACACTAATCATGGACTCTCCTCTTTTTTTAAACTAATTTAGAATGTTTTATGTATCATGTTTGTTGTGCGCGAATAATCTCTGCAAAATCATGTAACTGGTTTTGCAGTTTAATAACCTTTTTATTTAAATATGTATTTTTGCACTTTAAAGATTTTACTTTTGCTTTTGTTTTTTTAGTATAATCTTGGAACAAAAACCAAGATTTATCTGAAACAAAATCTTCTCGATGTAGATCGTCAATGTATCTTGGATTGTAAAAGCGTTTTCCAGGATACGTAGTCAAGGAAACATTTGTTTTTCTGAAAAAAAGCAGATTTTATTAACAAAATCTATATACTTACTGATGTGGTATACGTACTAATATTTAAAATATTCTTAAAAATTTATGTAGGTGTGAGATAAAACAATGATCATATTGGCAGATAATTTGTTAAACGAAACATGTAAGTGATATCACAAGACAATATTACTAGACACAAAAGCTCCAGTTAAATTTATGTCCAAATATCCAGTATCAATTCCCAAAGTTACAACCAAATCCACCGGGATCCAATTTCCATAAGGCTTGTGCGTCTTTACGTAAAAACATCATTAGCACAAAAAGTCCCGTCCGTTCGCGTATTAGCACATTTCCCATTATTGAAGTAATTATTAACCTTTTCAATTGATTATTTGCTGAATTTGTTGAAGTTTTCAGGTCAGCTATGTTTACGAATTTCTGTCTTCTATTTCCTAATAGCGCACATGTTGCTAGATTAGTGTTATGTTCTGTTACGGCTAAAGGGTCATCTGTTTCTCTGAAAATAAAACGAAAAGATTCAAACCATTTCATGTTTACATATTCTGCCATTTAAAAGATTTGTAAAATTTGTTTTTAAATTGCATAAATGATTGAGCAATTATTATGTATAAACCAACCTGTTGAATTCTACATCTATTATATCTGTTTCATCTACATCTAACAATAAGGATTCTTCACTCTCATTTTGCAATATACTTGCTTTTAAGTTAATATCATTAACATCAACTTCTGTAATGGGTAATGGATCATCAGTTTCTCTAAAAATGAAAATGTCTTATAAGACCATTTTACATCTCTATATGTATACTGTTATAAATTTTCTTATAAAAAATTTATAAAAAGATAAAGCGATTATTATATGCAAACGAACCTATTAAATTGAGTATTCATTGAATTCTCTGAATTATTCATTTCATCTACAATTATGCATTTTTGAATTTCTTTATTTATTGGCATATCTCTTTCTCGATTAATGTCACTTTCAATTTTTAATGGTAAGCAATTATTTTCAACTAGTTCAACATAATTTCTAAATTGTACAAATATTAATATATAATATTCCACATACAAAACTTTTTTCCAATGTCGTATATACCACGAAAATTACCTGACAGTTTGTAATCTCGGTAACAGAGATGGACATGCTCCAGGTTTAAGACATCTCCTAAAGATGTTTCCATACGATTTGTATACAAAATCAGTTGGTTTAAAGTGTTGACTACAAATACCGCCAGATGCACCTATTTTTTGGCCGAAAAATTCCATCCATCTTGTTCTAGTTTCCATATCTTTTGGTAGCCTTGAAAATACATAAATTAGTTCATAAATTCCCATATATAATTCTATATAATTCTATAAATTCATATGATAAAATTTTTAAAGGAAAAATTTATATCTTTGAATGAAGGCGTCAAAAATCACTCGCTTCAATTTTTTTGCCAATAGAGAGACCTAAAATCTTAAAATTGCAAGAAAAATAGCAACAGATAGTGGTAGAAAATGGTCAATATATAACTAAATAAAATTTATTCTAAATATGGAAAAAATCTGTCTTTTATTTTCCTGTGAAAGAATGAAGGTAATACTGAAGGAGAAGGGCTTCCTCACCGATTTTGATGAAAATTTACAGGATCGTGTATTTTTGCCTGTAAAACACGAATCCGCAAGTTAAAATCGTCGCTCGGCACTAATAAAAGAGTTATAGATTGTTAATTGTTGTGTGCATGCGTGTGTGTGTGTGTGTGTGTGTGTGTGCAAGGCAAAGATTTACTTTCGAATGGTATTCGAATATAAAGCAGAGAATATATTCTCAGAATATATTCTCTGCTTTATATTCGATAATGTATTGAACTGTTTGAGTTCTTGGTTAAAGCCGCTCCCGTATAATGTCGATAAGAGGTATCCTAACCCCACAACCCCACAACTGTCAGATCTTAACAATTTATAACTTTCTTATTAGTGCCGAGCGACGATTTTAACTTGCGGATTCGTGTTTTACAGGCAAAAATACACGATCCTGTAAATTTTCATCAATATCGGTGAGGAAGCCCCTCTCCTTCAGTATTACCCAAGTTTTTCAGTTGCGCCTGTTTATATTCAATATGTTCTACACATTTGTAATGACATAATTACCGATGAATGGATACATCATCTTTCTGTCCTGATGATTTGCAAACATAACAATATCCAACCATTTTCACTTAAAATATTCCAAAACGTATGTAGATTAACTGTTCTTTCTCCAGATTAATGTAGTAGTTGCATTCTACACTAAGATTATTTATGCAGCACAGTATTATATACAATGGTGTTTTTAAGTTTCCACCAAAGAAATATTCTTTGAACTCTTATTCCGATATTCTCGAAACAGTATCAACGCTCTGATCTACATACTTCGTACTTTTTAATCTACAATGTTAACACTCAACCTCTTATCCAGACTCCTTGTAATGGCCGTGATTATAGTCACAGACCTTACACATACATGAACCGGCAACACGGGCTGCTTTCGCGAGAAGATCAAAATGATCCGGATTAAAATGACCCTGTGCTATGATTGGTCAAATCTGAAATTTCGTAGCATCACATTGAAATTTTATTCAATGAAATTCCAGATTTCACCAATCATAGCACACGGTCATTTTAATCCAGATCATTTTGATCTTTTCGCGCGAAAGCAGCTACGGTCTTTGTGCCTCAATAGCAAGCTTGACGCGCGTCAACTGACGCCCACATGAAAAGGCTCCTTTATGCAAAAGTGTGTGCTCCCGCCCTTACCGAGTGCTTCGGGAGCTTTTGCATCTGATTGGTTATTCTTTTAGATCTAAAAATTGTAACCAATCAAACACAGAACTCACTGAGTGCTCAATCGGCTGAATCGGCTCAATCAACTGTGGTATTTTCTAAACCGTAATCTTTGAGGTTCGGAAAGTGGAGGTTACGTTGGTCATGTCAGGTAAACATTAAAATAGGATTCATTATGTCTTTGTATGATGATTTTGACAAGCATCGGACTACGGAGAAGGTTGCGGGATGGTCTTCCGGGATTAAATTATTACAGTCGCAACTGCAGCTGAAAAAGGCTGCTACAACACAGGTAAAGCCGACGTAAACAATACACATCGAACCGTTTATTTATAAAGACAATCAACATAAAATAAACTTGGAATTGTTACTTATAAATTTGTAGCCAAAGCGTGAACAATACAGGAAAGCTACTGCTGTACTGGCACCAGTGATAGATTTGAAATCCAAAACTAACCGCGATCTTGACAGGGAGGATGACAATGCTCATAGCAATCCGTTATCTAGTGGCAGCGTGAGCAACGTGGGGGTAGGTGGTGAATTTGATTGGAATGTGGTGAACGAATACGATCCTATGTGGCCCAATGAATATGAGAAAGTTGTGAAAGAGTTGCGCGACATAAGGGACAGGGAACACGATCAGGAGACAGAAATGCGCAAGCGTAGAAGAGACAGTACTCGTTTTGAAGACACTCAGGTAACGTATAATAAATCTATCAAGTCCGTTTGAGAAAGAGAAAAGTATTTTTTTAATATATACGCTATGTAATCCTCAACTTTGAGAATTCGCAGGGATTCAAAACAAGTCGAAAGATTCTGTATAGCAACGTTACCTCGCTGTACAAAGTATTACAATTAATATTGATAATGAAATTCTATGTATGTGAGCAGACTCCTGGTGGGAACAATACGATGATACCTCCTGAAAGGGATGAGGAGAGAACGCCGACCTCGCGAGGTATAGTAGGAGGAGCTGCCATAGCGCCACCGCCTTCCTTACAAGAACCTGCAGATTTGCCACCCCCACCACCGCGGCAGCCCACTAATCTCGGCTACTCAACGTCGTCTGTGGCAGCAAAAATAATGGCTAAATACGGCTTTAAAGAGGGACAGGGTCTCGGCAAGAAGGAACAGGGCATGTCGGTTGCATTGCAAGTAGAAAAAACTAGTAAGCGCGGCGGTAGAATAGTTGGCGAGAGGGAACAGTTAATGCCTCCGCCACCACTTGTCACAGCTTCTCCGCCGCCAATGCAATCGCAGCCACCGCTGCAATCGCAGCCCCAAGAAGAACCTAGCATTACCGAGATAATGAAATGTCCAAGCAAGGTCTGTATAATTTTTTGTGTTTGTAATTTAGTAATTTGTATAATAAAATATCTTTTATAATTTTATATACCTTAATAATATTACTTGCTATATACACATAATTTACATTTGTAATCTAACAACATATGTTATATTTCAGGTTGTTCTTTTGCGTAACATGGTTGGGCCTGGTGAGGTTGACGAGGACCTTGAACCAGAGGTGAAAGATGAATGCAACACTAAGTACGGTGATGTTGCACGTGTTATTATTCACGAAGTAACAGAAGCTCCGGCAGAGGAGGCGGTACGAATCTTTGTTGAATTCAAGAGAATAGAAAGTGCTATTAAAGCCGTGGTTGATTTAAATGGACGTTTCTTCGGTGGTAGACAAGTCAAAGCAGGCTTCTATTCTAGTGAGAAACTTGATAACTTACAATTGATGGATTAATTTGGACTGTAAGAATTTCTAACTTAAACATTTATTCTTTGCAAATTGTGTAAAAAATCTTTTATATCTCCACTGCATAGTACTAGTGAATCATTGAAAATGAACTTTTTCCTAATTATAGAATTATTGTTTCAATATTATTTACAATTATATATTATATGAGACGTGTACTTGTCTTAATCGACTTTGACAACGTATGTATATAAAATTTATTTTAAAAAACCATTTGTGTGTTATTAAAACGTATAATTTATATAACACAGTAGAATTTCCAATCTGCAGAGTGTCTGCGTATAATACGTTCCAAGGCCTGCCGCGAATAGCGAACCAGTAAAGTTATTTGAATGTACTATTTTTCGTTGAATCGAACAAAATCATTATTAAATGTATATGCACGTAAAATAAGAGTATATCGAATTAAAAAATAAGCGAATAAGAACATTGAGAACGTATAAAGTACTATTTAATCGTGCAAAGAATTTGGATACCAAGGACGTATGCAAATAAAAATTGTAGAGATCGTGAAGAAATATCTTTTGGCGACCTTAAACTTGACCTTGAGTCATTTGAGGGTTAACTTTGATTTTAAAAAAAATGGAAACCCCTTTTTTGACCCCGGGTTTAAACATGGCGGGAAATTTTACATCTTTACATTCAGATACGTTGTCATATCAGTGGTCAAAGTGACTCCTAAGGGTCACTTGTTTCATTTAAAAAATTAAAGTTGACCTTCAAGGTCACCAAAAAATATTTCATGACTCCCTACAACTTTTATTCGGATCATTTTCCGTGAAAGTACGTGTACTGGAGTTAATAGGAGGGGGGGTCCCATTCTTTTCGTATACCCTGTATATATAATTAAGCTAAACGGTTTTAGGCTACGAAGTCAACCATAATTCTTTTTTAAATCGCATATATTTAGTTCATAAGAAAAATATATAAATATATCAAATTAATAAGAGAAATATATAAATATATATTTGAAAAATTATACTCTCACTCATCTCCTTAGCATAGCACCATTTATGTATGTATCGATTGCCAACGATATAATTCTAGATACAATTAATATGCAAAGGAATAAAAGAAAACATGACAATCTTTTTCAAACAGCTCCCATTATCTTACTTCGTCTTTGCATCAGTCAAGTGATTTATCGCTTTATTTAATTGAGCACTAAAAGCAGCAAAACTGAATGTCACCAGAAATCTGTGTTGACCCGCCGCACCAAAGTTTTCAAGATAATTAGGATTTGTGATTAAGAAAGCGATTTTGGAGGCGAACGCCTCGCCGCACAGGTCTTCAACCAAGAAGCCAGTTTCTCCAGAAATTATCGATTCCGTGGGCCCGCCAGATTTGTGAGCGATTACCGGCCTGCCTACGTACATTGCTTCCAAGGGTACTATCCCAAAGTGCTCGTTCGGTGGGGTGTATATCACAATTTTACAATGATGCAGCAAAGAAACTTTATCTACATCAGAGGGCGAACGCAAGAACATTACTTTATCTGTTACATGCAACTCGTCCGCCAGTCCTATTAATTCCAGATGGTACTCCACGTTCTCTTCGACTCTCTTGTCGTATCCACCAGCCATAATCAGGTACACCCTCTTGTAAGTTTCCTTCGTTAAGAGTTTCTTCAACTCGGCGAGAGCTTCTATCGCAAGGGACAGTTTTTTCTTACGTTCGTACCTATTGATGGACAGCAATACAATGCTGTCGTCCGGTAGCTTCCTATCGAGAACCCTCTCCATAGATACTGTTCTTGTCTTACTGAAGAAGTCCGTGTTAATGGAAGGATACAAAATTTCGGGCTTTGTTTTCAGCCTCCTGAATGTATTCCTGAACACACTGCTTGTATAACAGCTATTTACAAAGACTTTATGCGCCATGCCGGTTGTGATCTCCTCGAAATAATTTAGCGGCACGCGGTACAGCTGTTTGAGACAGCCGCCAGGAGAGGAGAGTAGCTGGTCCGGATGATGACAGTAGAACACTACGTACGGAATACGCAGTATGAGTATGGGTATACAGATGGATACTAGATCACAAAACACAACTTCCGGCCGCTGGTCGCAAAATATTATATAGCAGGCCGCGTATATCTGTAAAAATAAATACTATTATATATGAGAAGTTACGTTACACCACAATAACCGTTAAATGCAGATAATTTTTTCTTTAATCGAAACCTGCTACGGGGCAGACTTTTCCCCGAGTTACTCTCTCAGCATCTCGGTGTCGACGGTCTCTTACCATGCGTATGTAAGCGCAGAGCGCGTAGAACCTGCCCAGGATGTGTCTAGGCAGCCAATTGCCCACGACGGTGACAGGAATCGTGCCGTCCTTGGTCTCTGAGAAGCAGTGCTCCGGGTCGTGGTGAGTTGTCACGAAGTTGACGTCGTGGCCATTCTTTTGCAGCGCTAGGGCCGCGTCGACGACGAGTCTCTCCGCGCCGCCGATACCGAGGTCGGGATGCAGAAACGTAACGCGCGTCATCGTACTCGGCGAATAATCCGTTAAGCGGTCATCGTCATGTATTTATTGGAATGTGCAAAATTATCGCGACTCGAATAACTGTATCATTACATTTTACCGGTCACCAGGTCACCACTGACAGACTGGCAGTACTGCTGAACTGAACTTGGGCTCTGCTGACGCCGACCATAGGCTACGAAAACTGAACCAAGGAAACCGATCTCCATGGTGGAAAGGGGTAACCTCTATTTGGACACGTAAAGCCTCCGCTACAATGGGTTTGTTTTCTGTTCCTGCACTGGTGAACTAGTGCAGTAAAGCTCGCTGCAGACGATGCTATTTTTCCTGCTGGATTGCTTGCAATCTAATAAATTACTATCGTTGCACCACTCAGCACT